GTCTTCTGAATCATTTTAGTTTTAGTCTAGTTTTAGTCTTCTGAATCATTTTAGTTTTTATCTAGTTTTAGTCTTCTGAATCATTTTAGTTTTAGTCTAGTTTTAGTCTTCTGAATCATTTTAGTTTTAGTCTAGTTTTAGGCTTGTAAATCATTTTAGTTTTAGTCTAGTTTTAGTCTTCTGAATCATTTTAGTTTTTATCTAGTTTTAGTCTTCTGAATCATTTTAGTTTTAGTCTAGTTTTAGTCTTCTGAATCATTTTAGTTTTTATCTAGTTTTAGTCTTCTGAATCATTTTAGTTTTAGTCTAGTTTTAGTCTTCTGAATCATTTTAGTTTTAGTCTAGTTTTAGGCTTGTAAATCATTTTAGTTTTAGTCTAGTTTTAGGCTTCTGAATCATTTTGGGCTCTATTTTGACGGTCCATGCACAGAGCACAAAACGCAGGGCGCAAATGCTTTCAGGGCGTGTCAGGACGCGTTTTTGCTAATTTAAGGACGGGAAATCTGCCCTGTGCTGCGGCGCATGGTCTAAAAGGGTTGAGTTTATTTTCCTAATGAGTTATAGGTGTGTTTTGAGAATAAACCAATTAGAGTCTCATCTCACATTCCCTTTAAGAGCCAGCAGCGTCGCACCAAGAGCGCAATCGCTATTTACAGGACACAAAGTAAGTCTAAGTGGAAAAAATGAGCATTTCACAAGCAAACAGTTCACAGTTAACAGTTTTTTAACAGAAAACTGTTAAACAGAGCATCTACTGCATGAGAATGAGAGATAAATTATCTACTTTCACTTTCGCTCTTGGATAGGGAAACCTTTACGCAAAGACATCAATTAGCCTATAAATAATTAATTTCGTTTGTTAAGCGCAAAGATTCGTTTCAAAACTATTTCTAAATTCAGTTCTAATTTCCAGCAAACGAATAAATGAATAATAATAGCAAAATGTGCTCAAAAAGCAGTGGTTTTTCATATTTATGTAGGCTAGAAAATAATATGTTTTGTAATATTTTAATCCTTTATATTTATATTCTATATCTATTCTTATTATATCCTATATATATCCTTAATATTTACTTTTTTTCATATGTAAAGATATTTGCCTATTGCTCTCTTGTGCGTATTAAGCAGTGCGTAAGCGAGGCGCAACTCTGTGCCGGAGTTTAGACCGGGTTAGTTTTGGTCTAATGAAAAATCTATTATAGTTTCTCAAAATAGCAACGCGCCAGCAGTCCACCTCAGAACGCCTTCCTTTTTACACCAGAATGCCTATGGGCGCACAAATGAGCGCTAATGCATTTGCTATTTAAACAGCGTAGCGCAACGCCTCAAAATGGCTCTTGTGCCAAGCTGAAACTACCTTAAGACTACTGCGCCACGCCTTGCGCCACCCTGCGCCGGGTGTATGATAGGGCCCTTTAGTTTTAGTCTAGTTTTACTCTTCTGAATCATTTTAGTTTTAGTCTAGTTTTACTCTTCTGAATCATTTTAGTTTTAGTCTAGTTTAAGTCTTCTAAATCATTTTAGTTTTAGTCTAGTTTAGTCGACTAAATTTCATAAGATTTTAGCCGACTAATTGTACTCTTGATTTAGCGGACTAAAACATATTTGGTTTAATTTAAGTGTAGTTTAATTAAAAGCTTAAAAGCTTTTACATAGAAGACCAAATATTAGATATAATAATATATTGTTTATTTACAGTGCATCCAGAAAGTATTCATAGCGCTTCACTTTTTCCTCATATATATATATATATATATATATATATATATATATATATATATATATATATATTTCTTGGTTATAGCCTTATTGCAAAATGGATTAAATTAATTTATTTCCTCAAAATTCTACACACAATACTACAAAATGGCAATGTGATTTTTTTTTCAATTGTTGCAAATTTATTTAAAATAAAAAACCTGAAAAATCACATGTGCATAAGTATTCATAGCCTTTGCCATGAAGCTCTAAATTGAGCTCATATACATTCTGTTTCCACTGATCATTCTTGAGATGTTTCAGCAGCTTAATTGGAGTTTACCTGTGGTAAATTCAGTTGATTAGACATGATTTGAAAATGAATACTTCTGTCTAAATAAGGTGCCAGGATTCACCGTGCATGCCAAAGCACAAACCCAGCATGAAGACAAAGGAATTGTCTGTAGACAGGATTGTCTCGAAGCACAAGGCTAGGGAAGGTTACAGTAAAATTTCTGCCTACCTGAAAGTTCCAATGAGCACAGTGACCTCCATAATCCGTAAGTGGAAGATGTTTGGAACCACCAGGACTCGTCCGAGTGCTGGCCGGCCATCTAAGCTGAGGAATAGGGGAGAAGGGCCTTAGTCAGGGAGGTGATCAATAACCCGATGGTCACTTTGTCTGAGCTCAAGCGTTCTTCTGTGGAGAGAGGAGAACTTTACAGAAGGACAACCATCTGTGCAGCAATCCACCAATCAAGCCTTTGGGGTAGAATGGCCAGACGAAAGCCACTCCCTGCCTGGAATTTGCTTAAAGGCATCTAAAGGACTCTCAGACCATAAGAAACAAAATTCTCTGTTTTGATGAGACTAAAATTTAACTCTAAGCTAATACCTTCCCTACAATGAAGCATGGTGGTGGCAGCATCATGCTGTGAGAATGTTTTTCATTATCAGGAACTGAAGACTAGTCAGGATAGAGAGATAGATGAATGCAGCAATACAGAGACATCCTGAATGAAAACCTGCTCTTGACCTCAGACTGGGACAACGGTTCAGCAGGACAATGACCTAAAGCACACTGCCAAAATATCAATGGTGTGGCTTCACAACAACTTAGTGAATGTCCTTGAGTGGCCCAGCCAGAGCCCAGACCTAAATCCTATCGAACATCTCTGGAGAGATCTGAAAATGGCTGTACATCGTCACTTCCCATCCAACCTGATAGAGCTTGAGAGGTACTGCAAGAGGAATGGGCAAACATTCCCAAAGACAGGTGTGCCAAGCTTGTGGCATCATATTCAAAAAGATTTAGGGCTGTAATTGCTGCCAAAGGTGCATCAAAAAAGTATTGAGCAAAGGCTGTGAATACTTATGTACATTTGATTTTTCACATTGTCATCATGGGGTATTGTGTGTAGAACTTTGAAGAAATAAATGAATTTTTTAGAACATGGCTGTAACATTAAAAATGTGTAAAAAGTAAAGCCCTATAAAAACTCTCCGGATGCACTGTATATCATAAAAATATTTAAAATTATGTGTCAGCAATTAATCCACAGGTAAGAAAAGTAGCCATCTGAAAATGCAGGAGTGTGCATTTATTTAGCAAACCCTTTATTTTAACGTGGTTAATTACTAGTTAAGCTTTTTAACCAGTCTGTTGAACAGTTTTAAGCCATTAAATCTTTGAAAGGGCCTAAAATAGTGTAAGTCCACTTTGCAATGTCAGTCTATACCAGGCTTTACTGTTGTAGTTGGTGTTAACATACAGTACATGGTGCTCAGCTATAGCACTGAGTAAATAAGTAGTGTAATGACATATGACTGGCAAATGATAATGTGTTATCTTGTAAAATGTGCACTCAGTCCCATGGCTCTGTTAACTCACAAAGAGGAATTGTAAAGCGAAGATGTATGTAAAAAAACAAAAATGCGATTCACTTTAAGGCAGTTTCATTATCTTGTATGTTGTATGCGACTCCCTGATAAGCGAAGATAATAACAATACAGTATCATTACATCCTTACAGACGTAAGAAATAATCACATCGCTGAATGACGTCCGGAATAAAACAGTTTTGGTTTTGTGGTAGAGGTACACTGTAAATGGCTGTTTTCATGAAGATCAAGGGAGGCGCAGATTGCGTGTGAACCTAGAGCGAGTTAGTGGCTTAGCTAAACAGTAGCCGCAACCAAAATGAAACACGCGAAGAAACAACTCCTTATAAAAATTTATGACATGATCTTATGAATTTTAAACTGACCGGTTTAATAACTTTTATTGTACAATCTAACTGAGTAAGTTCTTAGTGTGAATTCTCAGGTGTGAGTACAGCAATTAAAAGCGCACTAAAAGCGAACCAAAAAAGCGTACCGGGACCTGCTTAAAGAGGTGATCTCGATACGATTTCAAACGAACCTTGGAGTGGTTCATTTGTGGTGAGAATATGATCCGTACTTAAACAAACCCAATTGCAAAAAGTACTGCACCTTTTGGACTAATCCAACTGCCGTAGGCCGATACGCTGTGCATTATGGGATATGGAGGAAAAATATTTGTTGACAGCACTTTATCAACTGAGAGAGAGAGGGAAAAACATTACCTGATGGAATGTTGGAAATATTTCCGCAAGTTGACCATGTCGCAGTTTAGCTAAATTAATTTACGCCTCCTCGTGAAGTGACGTGTGATGCATTAAAACACAGTTTTCCAGCCACAGCCACGGTTCATTCTCGAAATGTATAGTTTGACTAAAGCAGGGATACAATCAGTCAGCGCAGTCGTTCCTCCATAGTAAAAAGCAACATTTTGTGCTTGCCGGTTTGTTTACTTGCAGGAGTTCACTGGCATTTTCCTGCACGTGAATTCTGACCAAGCAGTTTAGGCAATATGTTTAACAACATCTGGCCAATGAGAGACGTGGATTTTGTTAGATGACTGTATTTTGGTTCTTTTCAACTGGTTCGGACCAAAGGCAGCAGTGTGGTGTGAAAACGACCCAAAGACAGCAGAAAGTGCAACAATGTATCATTTATTGCCCTTGGTCCAGACCAAATAAAGCGAACTACAGATGTGATAGCACCCTAAAATCAATCACATTTTTATTTGTATAATAATGACATTGACAATAATCTATTATTATTATGATTGTTATTATATTATTGTTGTTGCTGTCTTGCAAGACAACAAGTAGGAATTCGGAAGGTTTAAGGCCTTCTGTGTGTTTAGGGGCATCCATTTGACATTGAAAGACTTTTTATCAAGTGTCCAAACTGTTTTTTTTTTTTTTTTCCATTTAGGAGATTTGGGACATCCAGCTCCAGTCCGCCACGCTTTGTCTTTAATTTGAGAGATTTGGCAAGTTACCACAAACAAGGCTGGTGAAGTTGATGTATTTGATGGCAGACTTGGAGAGCAAAGGAGGACCTCTTTGGACTTAAAAGCCCCCACACGCTTTTAGATTTGACCCCACAATTTTTCTTTCCTTTTGGTCTCATGTCCTCATCTCTCTCTTTTTTTGTGCATCTTAAATATACGAGGCAGCAGACAGCTCTGGACAGAGATATGAGGAGCCTTCAAAGGCGTGTTGTGACTGCTGTTTCATCTCAGTACAAAGGGTTATGCCGAAATGTGTTCCGCCTTTCAGTATATTTTGCATTTATGCTAATGATGCATAAATCGACAGTGCGCTTTTCTCTGCACTACCATATGAATCTGTAAACAAACCGAGGAAGTTAAGCCGTCAAATTTAATTTCACTTTTACCATGAGCTGCGTCCGAGAATCGTCTTGACGTGTTGATCTTAAATTCCAAAAATATTTTTTTATTTTATTTTGTCTGTTAAAATAAATTTTTTCATCAACATTGAGCCATTCAAGTTCATCCTAAACCAATCAAACGAGTCACTAATGAATAATGTTACCATTTGAATAACCTAGACATATACATTCACCTGCCACTTTATTAGGTACACTGTCCAACAAGCAAATTTCTAATCAGCCAATCACATGAGAGCAACTCAATGCATTTAGGCATGTAGACATGGTCAAGATGATCTGCTGCAGTTCAAACCGAGCATCAGAATGGGGAAGAAAGGTGATTTAAGTGGACTTTGAATGTGGCATGGTTGTCGGTGCCAGATGGGCTGGGCTTAGTATTTCACAAACTGCTGACCTACTGGGATTTTCACGCACAACCATCTCTAGGGTTTACAGAGAATGATCCCAAAAAGAGAAAATATCCAGTGAGCGACAGTTCTGTGGGTGCAAATGCCTTGTTGATTCCAGAGGTCAAAGGAAAATGGGCAGGCTGGTTCAACGGTTCAGGCTGGTGGTGGTGGTGTAATGGTGTGGGGGATATTTTCTTGGCCCACTTTGAGCCCATTAGTACCAATTGAGTATCATGTCAACGCCACAGCCTACCTGCTGACCATGTCCATCCCTTTATGACCACAGTGTAGCTATCTTCTACTTCCAGCAGGATAATTCACCCTGTCATAAAGCACGAATCATCTGAGACTGGTTTCTTGAACATGACAATGAGTTCACTGCACTCCAATGGCCTCCACAGTCACCGTATCTCAATCAAATAGAGCCTTTGGGATGTGGTGGAACAGAGATTCGCATCATGGATGTGCAGCTGACAAATCTGCTGCAACTGTGTGATGCTATCATGTCAATATGGACCATAATCCTTGAGGAATATCTCCAGTACCTTGTTAAATCTATACACACAAAGAATTAAGGCAGTTCTAAAAGAAAAAGCAGGTCCAACTCGGTACAAGTAAAGTGTACCTAATAAAGTGGCCGATGAGTGTATGACTTCACTCAAACTAATCCTCATAATGAGTCCTTAATTACCTAAAACAAGCAAATAATTTCACCTAGCAGACCTATATCGACAAACACTAATGAGGCCTGCTAGTGAAGGCTTACTGTGTGTGTTTGTTTACACAGAAGAGAGAGAGAGTCAGGGTAGAGCCATGGCAGAGGGGGGAAAAAGCAGGATTATTTGTAATTACGTGTGCCAAGTGTTTAATGCAACAGATTGGACACAATAGCGGCGGCAGAATCAGCTGCATATGAGTCCTCCATTATCCTGCGCTGGTGAAGTTGGGAGACAGATTGCCGGCGTAAGCAGCACAGACAGGCTTGACACCTGCTCGCGGCGCTCACGCTCATGCCACCACTGGGGAGAGGAAACCTGATTAACCGCGCTGTGCTAATAGAGAGAGGAAATTAACACAGCGGTATCCTGGTGAAGGAGAGCTACACTCAGAGAGGGGTGTTTAACCACTGGCAGCCAGAAAAGCCATGGTGAGAGATTAATGAACTGTGCAGTGATGGAGCTCAGAGTCATGCTGTTGATGGGGCTCAACAAGTCTCTGTTTGGGGCTAATGATTCGCCGAAGACACTGGATAGTGCTTTTCCAGCTCTAAATTTAAGGCCAGTTAGACGAGGATAAAACTAATCACTGCATGTTGCCCTGTAATTACTTTTTATAACACTGTTCATTTGCGTAATGCTATTCCTCATATTTGTTTCATGTTGTTTTGAATATTTGTACAGCGCCCCTGTTGGTGATGCCGGAAAGACTTTCTGACCTCAAGACCTAACTAAATTCTGCAATTGTACAGCAGTGGTTGGAGATTTTTTTGGCCACTCTAACCATTCTCTTAGCATTACATTGGGACAAGACAGACACACGTATTCTCTTAACATTGCAGTGGGACAAGACAGACACATGTCCTCTTCCAGACTGATTCATAACACTTCCAGCGGACTGGATTTCTAAATATTTCCCTGCGGTTTTCTTGAACAGGGTGTCCGCAGGGTTTAAAAAAATATTAAAAGTTGATAAATCAATTATGAGTATTTGAAAACCCTTAAAATGTAATAAAAATTCTTAATCATATTTTAAGAGGTCTTTAATTTTTGTTTAAGCGTTCTCCAAAGTGTTTGACTCCAAAAAGCATAAATGTATTTGTTTTCTTCCTAATAATAGCAACGGCGTTCTCGATCCACGTGATTGGTTCGGGCTGGGGTGTGTCCTGTGAAGCTCCCCTATCCGGGTGATGTCACGTAAATTGCGACAAACATGGGAAGGTGATGTGATGCTCTTCACATGTGGCGAAACCATAGAGCGAAACAGACGACAAAATGGGAAAATGTAAGTTTGCCAACTCGGGGTTGAAGAAAGATGAGTTTAAAAAGTGTCTAAAGCCTGTGCTGGACACAACAGTGTAATTTATTATTTAAAGCTTTGTTTCTTCCAAACTTATCTAAGTTCTGTTGCATGGTTGTGCTCTATTGATTTATTTAACTACAATTGTTTATTAACAACTGTTCATTAAGTTAGAGGTTTGATACCGGTTAGAACTTGAAGTAGCGATGAGGTTTTAAAATATTCTGAGAAGGTCATAAAAAGTCTTAAAAAGGTATTGAAATTACCTTTAGGATTCCTACATATACCCTGTTGAAACCACTTCCCAATTTGTGAAGCTTAACTTTTAGTGCTAATCACATCTGCTTCGTTCTCATCTGTTGTGCTGAATGACTTATTGAGTTTGGCTTGTGTTTTACTTTATATCCATTGACCTTATTCTTCGATGCGAATGTGGGCTCCTTTTTGAGATTGTTTTAGAACTTCCGATTCGTTTGCCTATGGGAGAAATGACTAGGAAAAATAAACAGCAGAAAATGGTCAAACTACCTGCACTACAAACACGTGTATGACTATACAGACAAAGCAGAATCATATAATAAGAAAATATTAGTTTGCAACATCAAGCAAGCTGTTTTTAACATCTAACATTGAACATTAAAATGTTGAGCCAAAAAGATTCAAATGGCTGTGCTCGCTCGTATGCTAAGAATAGCCAACATGGAACTTTTTCTTGTTTAGTTACCCAGGTGTAGGCAAGGGATGATAAGCGATTTCAAGGTATACAGCAGTTTGGGAAAGTCGCCAAAAACTGCCAACATTTTCTGTTACACTGTTCCTACGGTATACTGTATGTAGGACTTTTTTAACATTTTTGTTTTGTTTATTAGGACAACTGTATCTCCAGCAGAAAAGATATTCAAAGATGCCGTTTTAATTTGAAAGAAATCTGTGTTTTTGCAACTGATGAAGACAGCAGAAGTCAGTGATTAATTTAAATTATTTAGTAGTAATAGTAAACTGTATTGTCCTTGACAGGACATTTGTTATGGGCTTCACCATATTGCTGCAGACATTCCATAAAACAAACAATAAAAAACAATCCAAAATACAGTAGTTACAAAATTATAATCCTAATTAAGTTAAACTCTTTTTTAATAAACCCAATGGGTAGGGCCAGATGGAATCTGCAGACGTTTTTGCTATTTCTTTGGAGAATTTTGGTAAAAGTCTGTGGATTTCTGTGGAATTATTTTGAGAGTATCATAACTAAAACCTTAATATATAAAATAAAAAAACATCTTTTTAACTTTTATTTAATGTTTAAAATGCAAATCCAATTAGATTTACTTTATTTGGTAAATTAAGCAAGTTTGTCATAAGATATATCTAGTAAAAGACAGAAAATAATACTGTATAAACTGCATTGTACATAAATCAGATGGACATTTTCATATTAGTCAATACTATTACTGAAATTAATTAAAAAAACTGAATAAATATAGATTTACACACATTTACTCAAGTAAATAAACAGAATTAATGATGGGCTAAAAATCCTGTGGAAATCTGTGGAAAATCTGCAGAATTCTGCGCACGCAGATTCCGGGTGGGCCTACCAATGGGTACAAAGGATTTCTTATATCGTTTCAACCTACACTTAGGGACTCAAGGACACTTAGGGATTTAGCCTGGCATGTTTACTGCTCCAAAATATTTTTAATGTTTCTTAAAATAAAATACACTAGTCGTTTCCGAAATTGCCTACTGCTCTGTAAGTACTGCATTTGAATTTGAATTTACTACTCGACTGATAGAAAAGTATGTTCTATATAGCATGAATGTGAATAGTATAAAGCTCGGATATACCGAATACAGAAATATGATTTAAAAATATTTTGCTCGTATGAGTTTATAGGAGTGCCAAAAGTTGTGACACTTATATATTTAACAAATATCTCTTTCTCTCTCGTATACATTTGATCAGCTCACATGGAATTTTAGTTGAAATTTTATTTAAATGGTGCATGAAAGAAGCCTCATGTAAAGAAGAAATGGTATTATTTAATCTGTGATGTTTGGTGATCAGATAGGGTTTTGCAATATTTTGTATTAGTTAAAGTGCTCAGTGTATATAAGTCCACCCCTCACAAATCTATCTTTTAAATTCATATTTTACTTAGAAAGCTATACAATATTTTGTGCGTATACATTAGATTAGTCAGTACTAAAGCTAATTCTGGAGTTTATCTAGCAAAATAACTCACAATAGCGGTCCAAAAACTAGCACACCCAAATTTATGTTATAGAAAAATATTAAATACAAATCAAGAGAAGCAAAGTAATGAAAATTTGGTTTAAATTTTGTAGATTGTAATTAATTTTTTGCAATATTTTGCTTGAATTTAATTGCATTATCTTTCAATTTCTAAACATGTTTGGTGACTAAATATTATTTTAATAAATTTTTCTGTTTAATAAATCTGTTTTGTTTAAATGCACCAAAATACATTGCCTAAATTCACTGAAAATTAAAAAAAAAAATCATTTTCAAAATGGGGTGTACTCAATTATGCTGGGCACTATATTTTGTGTAATAGTATAGTAAACATAAATGTATGTATAATAGTAGTATTTTGTTCTGTGAGGTTAATTATAGTATTTTAAAGTCATAAAGTTTCCCTCTCTTTATATATTTAACACAATATATATATATATATATATATATATATATTTCTTTTTTTTGTCATATTTTGAGCTAAACATTTAAAAAAAAACTATTTAAAAAAACAATAAAAATTGGCTTACCAATAATAAAATTCACATTCTTCTTTGCTTACCAATTTGCCTGTATTAGTGGAGGGCTCTGCGGTTCCCCTCTATGTACTGAAGTTTAATATGTATGAGGCAGGGAGAGGTGAATTGGATTGAGTGTGCCGAATCGAACTGTGTCTGAGTGTGGTGGTTTGACTCTTTTTAAGAGATTGCCTCCTTTAGGTATTTACTGGTGACAGGCTTTCTTTTCATTGGGTATCATGAGGCATTTGATAAAGTCTAGACTGATATTCCCTTCAATCATTCATAATATCCCTAAAGAGGTCATTACGGCATTTAGCTTGTACCTGAGGGAGAACCTGCTCCAGGAAAAATGCTATTACATATTTGCGGCTGATGGAAAGAGCCTTGAGTTGATGTTTACAGTCAGGTTAAGTGGGATGGCAAATTTAAATGTTATCTTTCACATGCAGCATGCACATATATGTTAGCTTTACTCTTTACATGAACAACTGGCACGGTGGTTATCAAAAGTTCTGAATTTTGATGGTCGAAGGGTGATTGAATAAGATGTCCAGAGTATTGAGAAAGCTCCGGTCATCACAGGACTCTGAATGTGTGTGTGTGCCATCAGATGGCAATGATGTGTTTCTCTGAGTTTTTCTGAGCCACAACACAACAGCTTTCCAGAAACCTTTTCCAGCCTGTCAGAAACATGTGGTAAAAAGAAGCTGCTGCTGCTGCTCAGGAGCCCTGAATGACATCAGAGGGCTGTTAGAAACACATTTGTGCCTTACTCATACAGTTATTGATGAAAATGTTTATTTTGTTATGGTGCAAATTGTTCCTGTAATTATAAATATGTAATTGTAAATATATACAAAATAGCCTGTTTATTCAATAACTGCATAAGTAGACAGACGGAGGGACGGACGGACGGACGGACGGATGGATGGATGGACGGATAGATAGATCTAAGTTTCTACTTTAAGTTTTGTTAAACATTTATAAAGTTTAAAATAATTTGTTTTACTTTCAGTACAGTAGTGTTTTTGTGAAATTATGACATATTAATTTCATAAATATTTATTTAATTTCTTATTCACTTCAGTTTAAATGTAAAAACATTTAGTCTATGCTGTGCATGAATTTAATTTCTAAAGAGAAATGCAAGTAACACATCAATTTATTTTAAAAGTAGAACTATTTTCAGTATTAATGTAAAACAAGATTTTTTTCCTTTACGTTAAAAATTGTTTTACAGGGAAATTTAACAAGATAAAATACGATAACAAAATTCTGTGAATGATATTAAATTAAATGTCTTTATCAACATTATTACATCAAGTACTTGATGTAAATACATACTTCAAGCATATATGATTGTACTTTAATACTTATTTGGTATACCACTTTACAATATGGTCAGTTAATGCAATAACTATAACAGTGAGCAATACATTTATGATTTTAAATACTTGTTTACAGTGCTTAATAAACATTGAGCTATATTTTTATGTTATTAGCTTAGTTGATATTTATTTATATTAGTAAAAAATGCAGTGTTTCTGTATATTTGATATAGTATTTGATAAATTTGAAAGGATCATTATAATTAAATGCCTTCAAGGTATTTGTCAGGTTCTCTAATGTATTTAATACTGTTAACAGACAGAACTCTGTAGTTCATTGTTAACAACAATATAGACCATAAAGTTAACATCAAATGTTGTTTATTATGTAAACAAGTCACTAATAACAAAATATGTGACATCAATGATTATTTTAATGGCTGTAAAATGTAAATACCACTAAGCTAGTAAATATGCCAAGTTGCAATAGCCTATAATAGACAATACAAAGGGATTCCCTGCTCTTTGTCTCTGTCCAGTAAAGAGGACAAAAAAGTTTAAAGATGGGGATCATGAAGACTGAAAACTTTTTGGGAAGGAATGAAAATGAAATGTTAAATGAACAAAGTACAAACAGATATCTTATTTGTGTGGATGCAGTGAACTTCATTTTCCCTGTTCAGTGGCAGCAATAAGCTAAAGCTCTCTTTATAATATCCTTAAAATTCAGACGAATCCGATGAGTGAAATGCAGGAAGAGTGAGAATGACCGGGTTAATTAAAGTTATTGAGCGTAATGCTCTTCAGAGCCCTGCGGCACAGGGGCACCGGGGCCAGCCTTCGGTGCTGACTGCGGAGTGAAGCCGCGGAGATGCCGCTGCCGCCGCCGCCGGTCCCTTCTTCAAGTTCGTTTCCAAGGAGGAGAGACGCGTCGCGCCAGGACTCCGCCCCCTTCTCCTGAATGCGCGAGCAGCTGCTTTCAAACCCAACTGCTCAATTCCATTCATCCTCGAGAGGGAACAAAAAAGTGGCTATTTATTAGAATACTTGTTTTGTATTGTTCCGCGTCACACAAAAGGGGCTTTATTATGTAAGAAGGAACCCTTTCGCCGGGAGAAACAATAACTTGAAATTGTCTTTAGAGTCTATAATAAATTTCATTTTCTTGTCTCTCTCCTCAGTGTGTAGTGAGTGGTGGGACTGGGAGCTGGGTATCTCTGGCCTTGGCACACTAAGTGTAGATTTTAGCAAGGATGGCGGTCTGGCGAGTGGCTTTGGCTGGTTTAGGACAGCGATAGAACCGGTAAGGACGATTTTACCTCACTGCAAATGAGGGACTTTATATAGCTAAAAACAAGACTTAGTTTGATAAAGCTATATTCTCTTCTGGCGAAAGAGTTTCTTCGGTGTCTAGTGAGAGTCTGTAAATAAATGTTCTTATGTAGAAACTTGATGTATTGAGACAGTGATGTCGCTTGACCAACTCGTTGTGAGCGGAGCAGAAGTTCGGTCCGTCAGCTCGACCTGCGCCTGAAAGCCCCTTATAACGGAGCGCTGTGACTGTCCTCAGTTGGACGGAGCTCGCATGACGTGCTGTCTGTAGCTGTTAATCGGATAACAGATATCAACGCGACATTTTTACAGAAACAGTCCGGGATGTCTTTTGGTGTTCGGTCGGTCCAGTGTTTGTAACTAGGCGCATTTTATCAGAGGACTCGGAAATAATTGTCTAAAGATTATAACAAGCGCTCGTGTTAAGCGAGAACAAATCTGACGGAACTCACCAGCTTAGCTTTTTTATTTCATTCATTTTTATATTTGACGCTTTAGAAGAAGAACCTGTTGGGCAAACCAGCTCACTGGTCCGTCAATTCAAAGAGTATTTAAATAAATAAACTGTAAATGTTTTTTTTTTTTTTTTTGGTTACATAAAATTGTTTATTAATTATCTATAATAAGAAACCGATTTAAGTCAGCGTGATATTTTTTTTATTAAATATCTCGTCTTAGTTTTTGTTCCCTGTTTAAAAAATTAAATAACGTTGCTAGTGTGTCTATTACTTGAAATAAACTTTTAGTTCTGATCAACAGATTGTCACTATCAATTGAATAAAAGGATTTCATCTAAAGCCCTCGTCTTACCACAGTCCTTGTTAAGTCAACCTGCTCATAACAAGATCCACACAAAGGACTTAAACAAGCAAATTAGGTTAAGCAAGTGAAAAACAAATTGCCTAAGTTTAGGATGCTTCTATGTTATATTAAAATATTAAAGTTTAAATAAAAAATGTTAAACACACATTGAAATTATTATTTCAATCAGCCTATTGTCATTTTATATTTTATTTTTTCGGTTAATTTTAATAATCAGTTTTCACTCTCTTTATAATATGTGATCATAAAATATGTACCCTGGAGCATTATATATCCCCGTCCCCTCGTCACAAAATAGCTAGATCGCAAACATCTGTGATAACCCTTAACTGTCACCTCATGTTTTTTTTCTAGCAAGTACATCTTTTAAAATATTTGTATTAAAATACTATGTTTTGGAAAACTGCTGTAACCCCAGCTCTCGCACGTGCGCTAACAGTGCCCTATTGCCCCCAGCGCGCGCAAAACAAAGACTTTGTGAAGAGCGCGACACTGAAGCAAAATGAGAACTGACAAGGTGCGTTGTTCCAGGAGGGTCACAATGCGGTTTAGCGCTCTAATCCTAAGGACAATAAGATGCATTTAAAATAAATAAATAAACGTGTTATTAAATCTGCATAATCTTTACCATTAAACTAAGAAAAATATTCAATTTAGAATGAATTTCAAACAGACATTTTACGTATCTTTGTCATTGTATAGTAGCAATTAAACACAAAAGATAATATTAGTACTTCAGTTTTCACTAATATTAGTTACATATTCTATGCAATTATTAGTCATAGTAAATGCTTTCTGTAGTCTGGGCACATTTGAAACAAAAGCAAAAAACAATTACTTTGCGAAACCTTTCATATTAATGTGATATTTTGATGGATTTATATAATAAAAAAATATATTAGTTTGTCTATATGTACTGTTTTATCAACATAATTAATAAAATGGCAACATGTAGACCACAAAATATGTGAAAACAATTAAACCCGTGCTGCTTGTGAAATAAAACCACTGTCCAATAAATGTACTTGAAACTTTAGCCTATCTCTCTTGATTTTAATTCACATTAAAAAAAAAAACATTAACATCCCTAAATAATATAATTTTAACATCCCTTCATAGTATATTCATATTCCTTCTTTGTCGTTGTCCCTGGAGCACAAAAGTTTTGTGGTCCAGGGTAAGTGTAAGGATTTCATGAACATTTTCTCAGTCGGTGTTGCGGTTGATTTAGCCTACATGTTATACAATTATTTTTACAGTTGAATTAAATGTATGGCCTCATTCAGAGCTCGGTTTCTTGATTGCCTTACATTCAAATGTGTTACCTTATTACCTTTTTATTTTGTGGAAAAAAAAACTTTGGGGTTCAGTTTACACAGATAAAATTTACGCAGAATAAAGTCTTAGCAGTGCACCACCAGACGGCAGTATCCTCGAATTAAGAACCTCAATTTAATGTCATATGTTGTACCACTTAAAACTGTATATTTAGCCTATAGTTTTACACACCGAATAACTTGCTCTAGTGCGATAGTGTGTTATTTTTCACCAAAAATCTGTAATCTAAAGCGAAGTGAAATAAGGGGCTTTTTACCGTTTTTATTAGTTATTTGCCATTTATGAGAAATTAATTTCGACCTGTTTGCTTTCGTTTAATAGTAGTGCAATCACAGACAATATCAACATGGCTTACAAGTGGTTGGATAGCCTAGACGTTTTTTACACAAAGATTTGGCAAGACGTCACGAGGGTGCATAGGAGCTATTACAGTTATTATAAGGAATTAGATCGTATCTTGTAATGTCATCTAAATGGATAAAATCTACCATTTGTCCTCTTGTTCATTTATTGCTACCATTGAAAAGGCTCAAACTGCTACCTCAGTATTTACTCTAGTTTAGAGGGGGCGGTGTTGACCCTTCGTGCACCCCGCCTACTAGTTCTTTCCTCGTTGTCTACGTCACTCGACCGAACTCCATGCAAATCGCTCCTCACTGGAACGCCATTGGCCGCTCGCTCATTTTAATCGCTGTCAAAACGCATCATATGGCCGCCGCTTTAACTAACTCTTCAACTCCACTAGGAAAAGTAACTCAAATGCACGTTCAATTAATGTGGATGTGAAGCGGCAGTCGGAGACGACACTAAACTGGCTACAGGAGCGAAAAGAGAGCCCGAAATTGTCAGCAAACGGTTGGGAATAAGCTGAATTCCACACTTCATCGGAGCTCCACTGGCTCGTGAAGCACCTGTTTCAAGCGGACTACGGAGCGCCGAAAGTTCATGCTTTTTCTCTGCTAGTTGAGAACTTTTAAGCCACTTGAATGTATAGCATGATGATGGAAACGGACCTTCATTCCCCGGGACCCCAAACCAACACGAACCCGGGGCAAACGGGTCCAAATTCGGGGAGCAAAGCCAATCAAGACCGCGTAAAGAGACCCATGAACGCGTTTATGGTCTGGTCTCGGGGCCAGCGCCGAAAAATGGCACAGGAGAACCCCAAAATGCACAACTCTGAAATTAGCAAAAGACTCGGTGCTGAGTGGAAGGTGATGTCAGAGGCTGAAAAGCGGCCCTTTATTGATGAGGCGAAGCGGTTGCGAGCCATGCACATGAAAGAGCATCCGGATTACAAATACAGACCGAGGCGCAAAACCAAGACCCTGCTTAAAAAGGACAAGTACTCGTTGGCGGGTGGCTTGCTCGGCGGTGCGGGTGGTGGAGTCGGGATGAGTCCTGCGGGGGTCGGCCAGAGGTTGGAGAGTCCTGGGGGTCACGGAGGCTCGGCCAGCGCTGGCTACGCGCACATGAACGGCTGGGCGAACGGCACTTACTCCGGCCAGGTGGCTGCCGCGGCGGCGGCCGCCGCGATGATGCAGGAGGCGCAGCTCGCTTACAGCCAGCACCCCGGCAGTGGCTCTCACCATCACCACGCTCATCACCATCACCCGCACAATCCTCAGCCCATGCACCGCTACGACATGACTGCACTCCAGTACAGCCCCATCTCGAACTCCCAGAGCTACATGAGCGCGTCCCCGTCCGGCTACGGTGGGATATCATACACGCAGCATCAGAACTCCAGCGTCGCGACTTCTGCCGCCATCGGCACGCTGAGCTCGCTCGTCAAGTCCGAACCCAATATCAGTCCCCCGGTTACCACGCACTCCCGAGGCCCTTGCCCCGGAGACTTGAGAGAGATGATTAGCATGTATTTACCGACCGGGGAGTCCGGGGATCCGTCTGTGCAGAGCAGACTGCATGCCTTACCGCAGCACTATCAGAGCACGACTGCCGGAGTAAACGGAACTGTCCCACTGACGCATATTTGAAACAGCTGATGGAAAGCGATGGGTAACGCGCATTCAGAAACACTCCACCAAAAATATTTACCTCTTTTTTTTAGATTGTCATTGAACTACTTTTGTACAGAATGTTTTATGATGTTCTTGTAAATTAAAGGTAAATATTGTTTCGATTGCAGTTCGGAGAGAAACTGAGGTCTTATATCAGATGTATCACTTTCAGTGAAGCATTGTTTAAATATGACGTCTTTAAAATGATCCTGACAGCGTTTCTGGCCTCGCCAAGAAATATGCGACACACTGTTATTCTTTAAATATTTAAGTTTCTGTGCAGATTGACTTTTAAGTTGATAATGACAAAAGTCTAGCGTGAAGAACTCAATGAAATGTTTTTGAGAGCCCATAAAGAGTTTCCTGCTTATTACATTTACCAAAACGTTTGTATACGTGAATTAATGTACCAGATTTATGTTGTAATATTTCTTGTAAATTGTGAATAAGTTTTAATATTTCAAAAGGCTGGCACGTCACTGCTGCTGTACATAATTTATGACATGCATTACTGCCAGTTCAAATCTTAACCTTGCGTTGATTCATGGTCTAAATAAAATTGGAGAAAAAGTTACTCTGCTCTAAACCGGTGTAAGTTTTGTTACCTAACTCATCAGATTTTCTCATTTAATGTGTTTGGTTTACCATACTTGTCTTGTGGACACGTTCTCTTCGTTGTTTGAAGATATTTTAGGCCTATCAATCGGTTGTTAATCAGATATTAACCTTTATTTAAGACATATTTAAATTTATAATTCACAGGCTTTAACATATGCTGATGAAATCTTTAAAATATCAAAATGGAATTTCTAAGTCGGTCACATCTGACTCAGAACAGGTACTTAAATATTTTTTGTGATGAACATACATTGTTGATTTGTGTACTGTACACTCACAAACACAGACACGCAGATCTTTAATGTTGCTTTGTGTTTTTTATACCATAATTGCGGCTCCAGTGGTCTTAAAATATGTGAAAAATAATGTAAAAAAGCAAAGATAGTTTAAAAAAATAAATGTTATAATATTAATTATTAATATTGAATTTCATTAAATGCAATTATTAGAATACCGAACTTGAATGATAAATGTCACTTTCCAAATTTGCAAAATATTGTTAGTGTACTAAATGCACTGGTCTTTATGTCTCTGCTTATTTATAATTTGAATAGTTAAATTAAGTTTTAATTCTGTACTTATTTTACAATTTAATTTTCCACAGTAGATTCTGAATAGTGCCTGACTTGTATAATTTTGAGTAGCCTACAGAAAACAAGCTAATTTTGTGTGTATCATATAGACGGGTTGCATTGACACCTTGCTTTGCGTGCCCCGAAACGGAATTTACTCATAAATTGTCATGAATAAAAAATTGACCATTTAGTTTAGTTAACTTGTGTTTTTATAAAATCTAACGCTTATAGTTAATTTGGTTAATTTTGATCGGATAAATGCGTTGTTTATAGCTAGATAAAATAATTCTTATAATTCACTTTCAAATGTTAAACAGTACATTAGATATTTTTGTTGAAAAATTCTGTGTAGGTTGTTTCACTAGACCCGTTTTAGTATTTAGAAGAGCCCACGTTTCTCTTTATAGACGACTTTTTCATAAACAATTCACATGATAGAGGCCCACTGAATAATCAAAACATATTTGTATTATATTTGTAACATATTGTATAGTTTCTTAAAGGAAATGTGTTTGGACGTTTTAATTTCGCATGTTATTATAATTATACTTCGAGTCGTATTGGCTGTTTATTCATGATTCCCTGTGAAAAACACCTTGTTATAAAATCTTTGTGGCTGAACATAATGTGATCTGAAACAGAAACCGAATGATGTTTAACAGTAGCTGGGATCAACCAGCAGAGACGCTGACCTCTGGGAGAGAGGGTCAAAGGTTATTACAATTACCTGCTGTCTCCCTGGGGCGAGTTTAGCAACAAGTGTCAGAAGTGCAAAGCCGCAACACATTATGACACCAGACGTCCTTTTTTCTCTTGTTGGGATGCGCATGTGGGGCCTTCAATATCTACAGCACACACGTAAAATAAATATGAAACAGAACATGTTATGTTGTGTTGAATATCTTAAAAACATCTTGAAGAATCTCGATATGCACTGACCATATTTGTATTTTATAATTAATAGTTCTTTCTTTGTGGATTCATCCACGTTTCTTTCATGAAAACAGCTCTTCATTTATTCTTAGCACACACTTTCAGTTTCCACTGCTGATAGCACACGAGAATGTCCACTCGGAAGACATTTGTGTTTATCTGCAGATGAAAAACTACACGGATTAGCACCGAAAATAGAGAGGCGGAGAACCAAGTCACGGCACTTGCCAGGTTAAAGAGAAGCGTTCTGGTAAATTTAACCAAAATAATTTACTACCCAGCCAAAAGAGGGGATGGCACGCGGAGTGGGATGGGTGAATAGGATGGGATGGAGTTCGAGGTGGGAGGGGTGGCGGTGGACTCGAACCAATAAATCGTCTCAACGTGCGATACCCTTATCTTGTAGCCACCGATATATTCTGTGCTGGGAAGCCATCAACACTGCTGGCTCGTACGAAAACTCCCGATCTCTTGCACTCGCTGTCCTAAATGGGGATAATTAGCATCACTTTATCACGCCTCTGCATATTTTCTCCCTTCTCCAAAAAACCCGGTACACTGCTATTGGTCGATGCTCTGTCACAGAAGATTACGGAGACAGATTGCACGGAACGAATGTGCTGAACGAGATTAGGGAGGAATAGAAATAGCAACTGGGCCAATAAATTCCTCGCGAGGGCCTTATCGTGCAATTACACGTTGACATGTTTAACAATCTTGCTGCCTCTTAATCCTGCGCCCTTCCAAGAGGCGAGATGCTGCGCCGTAATTTCTGCAGCCTGCGATTCCGGAGCAGTAATTTAAGCATGTATGCAGAACGCCACGAAAAGGCAACTTTGTTCAAACTTTTATCCACCAAAAATGTTTCTGTCTTTCAGCTAATTACAAATTATTTGTTTCCCACCGTAGACAACGTTCCCTTTTAACCACAGCTGACACAGAGCAGGGGCCCGGGTACCGTCGCATGTTAATCAGCCCCATAAGCTTCACCGCGACTTTTTTGGGGGTCTGAATTGCGTCATTATTGCCCAGAAAGAGCAAATTCACTGGACTAATTTAGTGATGCACCCATGGGATTGCTTTTCAGAGATTTTCTCATGTTGTTGTGCATCACTGAGAATTCAATTACCATTATAAAACGACTGCTGTTCACAAAGTCTAGCCTGCTTTATCTAAATAAATAAATAAATAAATAAAATATAGCCTTGTGCTCGCTGACCGGTCGAAGGCTGCATGAATTTCCAAGGCGCAAACTGCTTGTTTATTAAACTACCCGTTCGTACCTTAACTGTCTGTTTTGTCTTTCTCTCTCCCCCCTCTCTCTTTCTCTCGCCCTCGTGTTCGGCAGAGAGGTCTGTGTAAGGATGATTGTGAGAGACTCTGCTGGAATTTGGCAGGCCCGCTGCTTGGAGAGGCGCCCCACGCTGTGACTCCCATTCAGCGGTCCAGCGCGCTGTGAGGTTGGGAAGTTTCACTGAGCCGTGCACTCAATGGCTCCACAAAGCTGATTACAAGCCCCAGCGAATTCCTGAAGGGACCGGGCAGCCACGCAGGTGTGCGGGAAACCGGGGCAACCCTTCAGAGTTATAGTGACAAGCCAGGAGACCACACAAAAAGCAAAGAGTCCCGGGAAGCGGCCAGGGATTTGGTGGGAAAAAACACCTTAAATGTCCTCTCCCTTGTAAGCGAAAAAAGAGGAGAAACTTTCCGAAGTCCCCCATTAAACTGATGCCCAGTCTCCTCAGGACAGCGGCTGTGCTGTTAAAATCAGACACATATTTCTGTTTATTTTTGGCATATGCATTCTGAACAGTCTGGTGTGTATAGTCCCATGCACGTAAAGATGGGGGTTCGGGTTTAACTACGATTCATAAAACGTAAAGATCTGCTTTGCCTTACCGTGCCCAATTCTTTCTCCCTGGTGCGAAAAAAATCTACATCAATGAAGCAGACAGCGTATTTAATTAGAGCGGAGTCTAACTATCAATTACTCAGGAAAAACACAGGATCCCCAAGGACCGGTAATCAGCGCGCCAACAGTCGGCCGCGCGCTCATTACAGCCAAGCGACGGGCGGGAATAATAATCAGGGCGCGGCGACGCATCTGCCTACAGTATTTCCATCGCTTCCTGTTGCCTCTCAGAACTTTAATAACTCGACATTTTTACTCAGTTTACCCAGCGGTAGCTCTGTTGTGGACGGCTTAGTAAAAAAGGCCCACTGTCTTTTCTCTTGTAACCTTATTGTAAGAAGCTTACAGCATCATAACATAAACGGTCTTTTTGTGATATTTCATATTGCATGTTTTTATCAAAATCATAACCTCTGATTTACTACGGCGCTTTGTTTTTTCTTTTTCTTATTAAACACAATGGGCTAAAAGTCGTAGGACACATTACAGAAAACAGTAAGCTACTACTATCTACTACGGCATTACAACGTTCAGTCCACTTATACGTTCACTTAGATAATGTTTGTATATTTTAGTTTGCATTTTCAGTTCCTTCACTGTAAAAATCATGGTTGCCTTAATTTTTTAAAGCTGAATCAAATTAACTTCATGAGTCTATTGAACTTTTGTTAAACTGACATAAAACAGCTTGCGTAACTTATAAAGTTAAGTTAGAACATGATTAACTTAATTTAATAAGTTACAATGACTTATTAAAAAAGATTAAATGACTTTCAAAAACATATTCTGTCAGGACTAATTGATTATATAATGTGTTTACAGTGTATGCTAAAGCAGATGGGACTGAAAGGATAGAGTAAATGTAGAAATGAATTAATTTTTTGGTTGTTTGTGTTCTTTTGGGATTTAGGAATAAACTATCAATTCGGTTATTGACTACTGAACTTGGTTTCTAACCATGCAACTTTTTTAAACAGTAAAGGTGCCATAAAGAACCAAAAAAAAGGGATTTCACTGTGATCACACGGATGAACTTATTTGGTTTCACAAATAACTTTATAGTAAAAAGTTCTTTAAATGTTGGGGGAAAGCCTTTTTCTTTATTGGCTTTGAAGAAACCTTTTGAGGATGAAAATGTTTCATTGGACCTTAAAAGCCTGTCATGGAACCGTCAAAGCCAATAAAGAAGAATGTAGTAGAAAAACATTTGTACTTTGAGAGTTGATACTTTGTTTTCACATTACAAATTGTCGTTAGAATTGTCGTTTAAAAGTACTTGTTTTCTAGTTAGGTTTAGAGAAATACTTATGAAATATGTAACTTTTGCAGTGCAGCACCTTTCAATTAATGGACGTCAAAACACCAATAAAAGTCTTTGAGTATGGGCCCGGTTCTACTTTCTGCGCTAATCTAATCCTCCGCAGAGTCAACAAGGGCTAATTGAGACCAGCAGGGCGCAAACACCCATTTACAATCACTTTCTCCCTCGCTCTTGATTGTCCCGTTGAGTCGTTTTGCGTGAGGTTTGGGACTTGAAAGTAAGCACGTTGTCTCAATCTATAGATTATGTTGACTTTTGAGTTCTGAATTATACAAATGGCAAAGGCCTCTGAGATTTAGGCATGTTTCAGTTCCCATGCTTAGCCTTATAAATATGCTATAAAACCATTGCAGTCTTGGCCTCACCTGTGTCCTGTCACCCCTGCTGTCCTCGTGTGATTAGAGGACAAAAGCACTTACCCGGCCCGGCTATGGTAGTCAATCAACCACAACGGACTATGCTAATTGAGGGGAAAGGCGAGAGGAAGACGAACAGTGATCCCAATTGTTCGGCGAATTTCACAGCTCAGCGCAGCTGCAATGCTACTGTTCTCTCCCAATACACTCTTCCTTCACTTCTAACACAACTCTACTGTAAGCCGAAGTCTGTGCGAACAGGAAGTGATTTTAAAATACTCTCGTTTTTCCCACACAAGTTGATAATTTAACGAAAAACAAAAGTCTGTGTAAGTCTAGATGAATGACGTGCACTAAAAGTTTTAGAGGAGCTGTCCAGGTCCTGAAATTCACAACACCCGCATGTTCTCTGTTGGTCTATTTCAAGAGCGATACATGTTAAAATATTAAAAATAATTGAATTATATAAATTAACTTTTGTTTTTAGCATGACTTTACATAAAAGTTTCGCATGGCTTGATCAAGTTTAACCTTCTGGTGCTACCAAAAATGACGGATTTTTAATATCTTGTTTTTTTTAAGGGGATTTAATGATATGTACACCTCTTAACGTTTGAGCATAGACCTGAAAACAAAATGTCCAAGGTAAAAAAATATACATCTTTTGTTGTAGATGTTTTGCAACACAGATTTACGTTTTTTGTCTTTTAAAGGTACTTGGTACATGGTTTCAGCAGGTTTATGAATGTAATTTAAGACTTAAAGAAAAAAAAAACACTAAGAGTTTTTTATAATGACTAGTGGAAAATGTTTACTTGCCCCATTAAATTTCAAACCCATATATACAAACAAATGTCATTGTAAGGAATATAATTGAAAAAATAAGACATGTTTAAAATGATTTAAGGCCTACAACTCCAAATTTGAGTGAATCTAAGACTTTTTAAGACCACAATAAAGGAAATTTCAGACTTAAAGAAAAAAAAACACTAAGCTTTTTTTTTCTAATGGCCAGTGGAAAATATTTACTTGCCCAAGTAAGTAAATTCAAACACATATTTACAAACAAATGTTACTGTAAGTATTGTAAGATAATTAAACCAAAGTGGTAAATAGAGTTTAAAAATGTAACTTTTAGTAAACCATTGCATTAGATGGGTTGTTGGTTGTACCAATTGAGCAGCTTTACATGGACAAAGGAAAATTAAGACCTGTTTAAATTGATTAAAGGCCTTCAACTCTAAAATGTTGTTTTGAAATGTAAAAGACTTCGTAAGACCCAGCAGACGCTGTGGTAGATCATACTGAAGGGGGAACATGTTCTTTAAAAAGTTAAATAAAACGCTGATTGTTATGAACAATACACAGAATTATCATTGTCAAATCTGATTTAAAATAAACATTTCCCCCAAAAAACGTTTTACTCCAAAACAGAGATTTATATCTCAAATTTGAAATTTGAGGTTGATATCTCAAACAAAACTAGTTTTTAGTAAAATTTAGTTTTGGAGACCCAAACATTTCCAAAAGAAGTTATTTTATTGTGTCATTTCTGATTGTGAATAACACAAGAGTGACTATTGTTTTATTTCAGGACCATTTATGTTTTTTGTATCATATACATGATTCTCCCTCCTACATACTTCTTACACAGCAAGTGACAAAACTTTTATGTACCAGTTTCATACCTTTCTGATGAAGTAAACACTTACAAAAAGATACATTTATTTGGTCAAAAAGATAAACTGATGGTGAAAATGAATGCAGCATTTCTTGGACAAATGCAGGAAAGCCTATAAATATGTTAACTAGCCCTGCTTGTCATAGCTAATATTGTGAGCTAAAGATGTAAACACAAAAGATAACGATTAGCGCATAATAGGTAATTTATCACAAAGAAAATCAAGAAGTTGTTTATTCTGACATAAAGATTTGGAGTACGATTTTTATATGCAATTTCAGAAGCCTATTTATCTACCTCTGATCAGTCTTTGTTTTTTCTGTTTTCATTTGGCTTTCTCCCATTTCTCAGCCTGAGATCAAATATGCTCCTCCAAAACAACTTCTCGCGCATCTACAAAAAGAATGACAACTTTAACTGTAAATTACTTTTTCCTCGCATCTAGTTTGACCCATCTCACAAGGTGCCCTTCCTCTCAGCAGGGGTCAGAAAATAGGCCTGAGAATTGTTTGTGTTTTATCGCTGCTGGAGTCCCACTGTGCTTCTGTATTTTCTGATGGGATAAACTTTGACTGTGTCTGATTGTGTTGCTTTTACATCTGAAAGAGGGAGAGAGAGACAGAAAGAAACAACAATAAAAGAAGTTGATGTTTATGGATTGGTCATTGATTTTGTTGCTCTTGGCTGTATGGGCCCCCCCTTTTTTTAAATAAAGACAAGCAGGGATATGGGAGCGTGTTGAGTGGCGCGGTTTGGATCTGTAGGAGTGGATGGAGTCCGCGTGGACAGTGGCTGACAGTTGAAGTAGCTGCCCTGAGGGCTGCGTGACGGATTGGGGGCAGCGGGGTTACAGCTGATAATGACACACCCCACTGAGTGTTATTACTTAAAGACTGTGCCGGGCTGAAATGACATTGTAATGGGACGGGGCTTTTTGCCACGTTTTCACGGCACTGGGTGCTCTCACTCTGCAACTTGCTTCCCGTTTCTGTGTCCTCTTTTGTCTGCCTCTTAAATGCTGTCTGTTCCTCTGTCTCTCACTCTTCCCAATTCTTTTTAGTGGTACATGCAGACTCACTTTTATGCATGCATAGGTTCCTGGCAGAATTTTGGTGCATAATTTTTACTGTCTGAAAAGACTTGCTTCAGTGCATCTTTCATGTTTACCACTGAATGGATGGTCTGTTTGGCTCAGATCAACATTCAGTTCCAACTTACTATGCCTCAAATGTAGTCAAGTTGTTTCTGACGATTTCCTTTAGTTTTTTTTTTTTTTTTTTTTTTTGCAGGCATCAGTACATGTTGTCCTTCTAAATCAGTGAATGAATGCATTTATATAGCGCTTGGACAGAGCTGCTGCGTACAGAACATATAGATTTGACTGGTTTTGAGTGCGTGTTTGCGGTTAGTTTGTGATCTGCAGTGACAAGCTCCTGGTGTGAGTAAGCTTGCACTCATATTGTGAATAATAAGCAGCTTTCTCTCTAATTGTTTCAGTTCTTACATACAGATGGACTCCCTGCGTTCATTTACAAAGACGTTTTTTTTTAGCCGTAGTGGTTACTTTACTGTAGTACTTAAAAACACATTAGGAGAGAGCTCAAGTCTTGGGTAAATCAGAATGAACGCACACACTCGTATACATACACACACATATGGATATATTTAGTTCGAAAACAAATGGGGCTTTCATGCTTTATTTATTTGTTTGCTTATCGATCATTAAAATACGCCCTGCTTAATGTCATTACTTCCCTAAGCAATAGATTATGACCATCATACATTTTTACACAAGATAGTGGATATATAATCAGGCATATTATTTATAACAAGAATCATTGGATGACATTTTAAAAGACTCTATTTAAGGATCACAGTGTATAAGTTATTAGTTGTCATTTTAAATCTTTATACTTTGGCACTATCCTCCAAACCACTAGGGTTTTATACATTTGTCAGCAAATAGATAATTATTCAAAACATTAAAGAAAATATTATAATTATCACTTGGTTGTATTTGTTTTGTTGGGTCTTTTGGTTCAGCATGTTTATGTAAATACACGGTTGTTTTAACTACTGCAGACGCAAAGCTTCATTTCAACATTTAGTTTTATACATCATCATTTTAACAAATCAATACAATTCGTGAACCCAAAGACCAGGCTTTTACCTAAAAGGTTTCGTATTTTAAGTAAATCTTCACTTTATATATAATGAGTAACCTGTCCAATAACGGCAAGAAACATTGTGTTGTTACTTTTGATAACAAACTAAGCAAAATTTTTAAAATTCTGCCTATTTTATCATGAAATTGACACTTTTCTTGAGTGGAGAGCAGAGCTCAGATGAACTGGATTAATCCTCTTTACTACTAGTTATAGTATAAAGAACAGCCATTTTTTTAGCCATGGAAAGACATCAGATAAACAGCACAGATTGTCATTGCATCACACTATGAAATATATTTGGTGTCTAGAGCTTGTTAGTTTACTAAATTAAGTGAATTTCTGCAAATACTTTGCCTATATTAGCCCATATTTTCTTTATTTGATGCATGTTAAAACACAATTTAGAAAAGTTACAAGATTAAAATATATTTGATTTACATTTTACATGTAAGCTACAAAAGCAATGTTTACTTTGTTTTTCCTTATTAAAAAACAACACTAACTGTTTTTTTAGTAAAGCACACACCTTAAAGTACACAGTCTAAGAATGAAAGAACCATGGAAATCATATGTACAGAGGTAAAACTTGTAAAGAATTCAGGGATATGTTGTCAGCGAAGAATAATATTAATCAGTCAAATAAGGTCACAAGTTTTAGGTCACATGACAAACTAAAAAATATAAATAAGTCAACTGAAATGTATATTGTAAATAAATAAATAAAAAGATTATGATACACAGGGTTTGATATGAGTTTTCATACTATCAGGTATTATCAGGTTATTTAGTATAGGTTTTCATTGAAGGTTCATAAGTAACTCCCAATGAAGCAAGCTTTAGATCTGGAACAAACCCTTTTTTTATACACTTGAAAGCATGTCAGCTATATAGTAATATTCCAATAACTGCAATTTACTAAAAGTATACTAAGAGTATCAGTGTACTTTCTGCAGCTTTGCATTTATTACATTCAGGCTAAGCCTTAGGAAAGATTTTATGTGGCTCATTTTTATACGTATAAAGTCTGTGTACAATTTTAAATTAAAATATGTCTACATTTTTTGAGCATCCATGTTCTGTAAACACTCCTCCCATTGTTCCTAAATGAATGATTGTATTTCAACAAACTTGCAATTTACTACTGATTACTCCTATGTAAGTTGGTTTCTGTAGAGTGGTTAGGTTTAGGTATAAGTTTCTGTCAACATTTACTCGTCCTCCACTTGTTCCAAGCTCTATCGTTCTAGAAGAACGTAACGTTCTTCAGTTGAACACAATAGACATTCTCAAGAATGTTGTATAGCGGCAACCATTGACTTGCATTGTATTCTTTGTTCATATTTATGTCAATGGTTGCTTTTTGCCAACATTCTTTAGAATATCTTGTTTTGTATTTAAAAGAAATCATAAAAGTTTAGAACCATTCAAGTGTGAGCAAATAGTGATGAAACCTTATATCTTTATTTGTACTAACAAAGAGCCAGCTAAGAAGAAAACAAGTTAAAAGTGAGAGGCTGTGAAAATGTAAAAGCAATGTTTCACACGTATAAAGCAAATCACATGGGTGAAATTGAATTTTAAGCCTTTAACCGTGAAGTACGCACAGTTTTTAATAGGAATAAATCAAAACAGCCATTTAAAAACAGGCATTTAAAAAAACAGTGGAATTCTTTTATCTTCGCTGTACTTTATATTGAGATCCTAAAAATAATAATAGTGGATAATTGATCTTCAGAATAATTTGCCACACTAAACACACATGTGCTGTGGCCAAACAGCAAGAGCTGCCCAGTATGAGCTATTATGACAGCGGTGATTCATGAACATCTCAGTCAGCTCTTCTTAAGTGTGAGCAATAACTCTGACCCTGCAACTTTAATGTGTTTGGAGGAAGAAAAAAAAACAAAATA